CCCCAAAACCCCAAAACCCCAAAACCCCAAAACCCCAAAACCCCAATCGATAAGTCTCAAACTTATTCAACTTCTGCAGAAATCTAATCATCATGGTCTGTGACTACACCCATTAGGCCGTACTTGATTGACATATTGGCTACCTTGCCTCCGTTGAAGAGAGTATCTCCATCATAAAGTTTGAAACCACTAATATCGATGCTAGATTTTCCTGAGATCATATTTCCCCATACTAAAAGCTGATTGTCATCATTCACGAGTCAGTAATGTTTAGTTCCACATCCGAATGTGGTGATGTTGGTGCTGACACCATCTTCGTTTTCTAAGTTGATCATTTTTGGAGTATAATCAAGTCTTAATCCAGTCTTCCACATGTTTCCTTCATCATCTTTGAACAAGGTAGTGTTTTGTCCACAGTAGACATCCTCCATTGGGACTGATTCTTCTCCATCCCATTCTAAGTGAGTTGGAACTGGGATTGATTCCTGAAAGTCGATTCCAATTCCTGCACCACAGCCTATCTGCCCTCTATCATTTTTACCAAATCCGTAGACCTCTCCATTATCCATTAGGACTGAAGTGTAATCGTCTGCTGAATCAATTTTGATAGGGCTCATTCCTTCTTGCTTGAGATACTCAACATCTTCATTAAGCAGTGGTTCAAGACTGTATGAGTTGTCTCCGATACCTAGAACGCCAAAATTTCCTCTTCCCCAAGTGTAGAGCTGACCATCTTCAGTCAGGGCAGCACAATGGTACATTCCTGCAGCGATTTGAACAACTTTTGATTCAATATCATCAAAGAATTTGACTTTTCTAGGGATGAAGAAGGGCTTTTTGTCACCATGACCCAAAGCACCGACCTCTTGGGCTACCATCCATGAGAAGTATCCCTCTTTGCCACCGTAACCCCAGGTATAGACTTCGTTGTCTTCAGTGAGGACAAGAGTATGGTATCTTCCAGCTTTGCTATCGATTACCTTGATTCCTCTGTTAGCAAAGAATTCAACTTTCTTTGGTTCTTTGTGGTTGACTGAAGTCTCATCACCATGCCCCAAAACTCCCCAGTTTCCGGACCCAAAAGTGTAGAGGGAACCGTCATCAGTTATGACAGTCGAGTGGCGAGGTCCTGTGAATATCTTCTTTGGATTCTTATCATCAAAGAAATCAACTTTTGCTGGATTTCCTCTATAATTTTTGATTAGGGATCTTCTTTAAGTGAAAGATTTCATCAAAATTTACCCCTATGCGATCAATGCTTCCATGACACAAGATTCGCTCGGGACGTATAAGAACAAATACACAAACTTACTTCCTAACATTAGCTCTGCTAGCTGATCCCCAGAGATATATTCTTTTGGAGAAAAATCTTTTAGAAAAATTATGGAGGCCGTTCATATTTAATTATTCAAGTAAAAATTAATAAAAGGGGTTTTGGGGTTTTGGGGTTTTGGGGTTTTGGGGTTTTGGGG